AATGCTGCCTTAAACTATACTTTTATATTGTTCTTGGGAGGGATATTGTTATCTAGCTGTATTTTTCTATCTTTTACTTTCATCCTTTCTTCCTCCTCCTATTTAAAGTTTGTCTAGTTCATGCAGCACCGAACAACAGTTTGATGATCTTACTTGGAATATTTAATCTTCCTACATTTTGCATTTAATTATGGTTCAATTAGGTTTATATTTATTGTATTGCTTTGTTTTTCTATTTGGTCCATCTTTTAATGTTCTTTTCCCTTCTTTTATTGTCTTCTTTCAAATTAATCAAACTTTTTTCCCCTGGTATTAATTTGTTAGCTTCTATTCTTTTAGTGGTTACCCAGGGTTTCAGTGTAGACACATTGGCTTATTACAGTCTGTTAAGAAGATTAAGAGATTACTCTTTATGTTACTTTAATCACATCACCAATGCAATAGAACCTGTTCCAACTATTATATATTTCTTGCTTCCCACCTTTTGTGTTATCATTGTCACGTATTTTAGTTCTGTAACTATTTTTAACTCCTCATGTAATTACAATTATTATGTTACCCATGTATTTACCTTTCTATTTTTATGTATGTGTCTTCCATTTTCAGGTCTCTTTGGGATCATTTTCCCTTTGCCTGAAACATTCTCTTTAGTACAAGATATGAACCTACTTGCAGCACAACTGTTTACTTTTTATTCATCCCAAAAGTCTTTAATTATCCTTCACCTTGAAAGAAAAACTTGAATTTCTTTCTGTAGAATTCTAGGTTGGCAGGTGTCTTTAAAGTGCTCAAATAAATGTTTTCCCACTGACTTCTAGATCCCATCATCTCTATTTAGAGATCAACCACGCATCACATTGTTGCTCCTTTCAGTTAAACGTCTCTTTTATTCTCAGGCTGTGTTAACATTTTTTTCTTTGGTTTTGGTTTGTATCAGTTGGATTATGATGCCTGAGGTAGGATTTTTCTTCACATTTGTTGTGATTGTGGCTTGGTGAACTTTTTGAACTTGTGGGTAAATGTCTTTCATCAATTTTAGCTATTATGTGTTTAAATATTTTTTTCTGCTCTTAAATATTTTTATCACTCTTCTATCCTTCTGTGACTCCAATATCATGTCTACTCCACTAGTTTCTTCTCTGATTTCTTTCCATACTTTATTCTCTTTTTTTCCACTGGAGTATTTTCCATAGATGCATAGTCTGGGTCAAAAATCCTGTGTTCTGCTGTGAAATCTACCTATTGAGTTCTTAATATTAGATAGTATATATTTCACATCTGAAATATCCATTGATTCTTTCTTGTAGATTTCGAATCTCTGGTGTAATTCTCTCGGCTTTAATCTCTTTTTTTTTTAAAATTAAGTCATATATACATAGATCATGAATACATTTATGCCTTTGTGGGATTCAATGTGTGATTATTTGTACAAATTGGAGTGCTTACATCCTACTAATTAAAATAGCTTTCACCTCATTTACTTAATCACAGTGTTAAGACATTTGTGTTCAATACTTGATAGATTAGACTTGCATTATTGCAATACGCTCCAAATCTGTCTCTTATCCTATTTCCTTGAACACAGTAATCATGGTTGTTTTAAAGTCTTTGTGTGCTAATTCAGAGCACTGGATCCTCTGTGGTCTGATTTTTCTCTTGACCACTTACATATTCCTGTTCCTTTCCAGGTCTAGTGATGTCATGGCCCTCCTGGGCTTCTGGCTGAGAGCCTAAAGTAAGTAGCTCAGCTCCAAGGGCTCCAGGAGACCCAGCTCTGCCCTTCAGTTGTTACCATCCCAGCTCTCCAGCCATCCTTTATCCCACCTTCCAACTCCTTGTGCCCCCAAATATGGCAAATATCTTAAACAAGAGGTAGGCTGTGTCTGAGGAGAGGTAGACCTTCTTCAGGTAGGTTCCTGTCCCTGTAGGACCGCAGAAGATTTCATTCTGTCCCACTCTGTCCACAGGGCAGCTCCTCCTGAATCTAACGGGTATTTTTGGTTCCTTTCCCTCATCTGTCTCCCAGAATCAGAAGATGCCCCCAGAAGGAGAAAAAGAAAAACTGGCTCTGGATACTCCTTCTGGAATGCTTCTTTCCTCTTTGGTATTTAGTGCATCTAGAATTCACTGCTTTTGCCGTCCTCTGAAGCCTTTATAAATGCAGATTTTGGGGGGTATCATCCGCCCTTTGTAATTTATCTGGATTTCTCTAGTTTTGTAGCAGAATATAGGTTTACGCATCCTATCTAGAAGTTTCTGCCATATATTTTATTGACATACTTTTGTATAAATTCCAGAGTGACTCCTTGTTCCAGGCATTTCAATTTATTTTGCTTTAGCTTTCCTAGAGTTATATGACAAAAACCCTTATTGTTTCATTCCATCAAATATATTGAATTTCTATAAAATTAATAAAAACAAATGCTCACTTCAGATAAAGTTGAGATATCACTTAGTGCTATTAACTTTGATCTACTAGATTGTTTTTTGTTTTTTTTTTTCCTGGTTAAACATAATACCTAGAGAGATGAGTGTTCTGCGAGTGACAAAAAGGAGCTTTCAAACAAAAGTTGCTCTGATCTAGGAGGTCTTTTTAAAATTGTGTTCTTCTTGCTCTAAGTCTTTTGGGCCTTGTTCAAGATTATTATTCCTAATGATGGTTTTGTATATTAATGCCAACCTGGTTTCTATTTGCCATTACATCATTAGGGACATTTCAGTCCTCTGGAAACATCTGTGACAACAGATTTTAAATTTCTTTGTCTGGTATTGGTATGAACAGGGTTACACAAGAAGTAGCTCTCAAGCTGTTTTTTCCTTGGGTCATGGGAGGGACCCACCTCCCATGTTGGCTTCGCCCTCTTGTGTCTGGAACCCCCATGGGGGTGGGATTCACATTTAGTGAACATTTCATGTGGCTTTTGATGCAGAGTCCAGAGGGTACCACTCTCCACTGTCACTTCTTTTATGGAGGAATTATCTTCCTCGTTTTGTAGAAGCGGCCGCTGAGCCTCAGAGTCTGTAGGAAGCTCCGATAGTCACACTGCCAGAACTCATGTGGGTGTTTGCTGAATGTTGAGAAAACATGGATGAGACCGAGTTCCCTCAGCAGAAACATGTGCTTGTCAGGTCTCACTGGGTCTTGACAACATGGTAAGTTATTTCCTCACAATCTGGTAGCTACTAGGTGGCAGGGTAGGACTTAAAACATGTTATTGCTTCCAGGTAGAAATTTTAAAGAATATTAAAGGTGAAAGAAAGCAAAGACAGGAAAATATCATCTTAATGATATGACTTTGAGAAATCCACTGAATTCTGTGTCTATTTCCTAATGTGTAAATCATGATCTTGCTCTCCTTAATATATGTAGGCAAGACTATATGCAGAAGTGTCATTTGATTGATTACTGGCTACCTGGAAAGAAGGCTCTCCTTTCAGTCAAAAAATATACTGTATTTTTTTCTTTTTCCCTCACTTTGTTGCCCTCGATAGAGTGCCATGGTATCACAACTCACAGCAACCTCAAACTCTTGGGCTTAAGCGATTCTCTTGCCTCAGCCTCCCAAGGAGCTGGGGCTACAGGCACCCGCCACAAAGCTCAGCTATTTTTTGGTTGTAGTTATCATTGTTGTTTTTAGCAGGCCTGGGCTGAGTTCAAACCCAACTCCAGTGTATATGTCTGGTGCCCTAGACTCTGAGCTACAGGCGCTAAGCCAAAAAAAAGTATATTGTATTTTTTTGATTAATAATTGCATACACTATTTCATAAGGCAATGACAACTGTACCATGCTGTATTTCAACCTTCCTTTGTGGCATTCTTAGCTGAGATGTTTTTCTACAAGTATAGCTTTATATAGTTCAAAACCCTGAAGTCTTTACTTAAGCTGAGCTATAGTTGATTATTTTTCATTTATACAGCATTTTAAACATCCCCTTGGCTTATTGCCATCCTCTGTTAATGTCCTTCTGGAAAGCTTTTCTGTTCTAACATTCTCATCTCTTCTGCACAGGCAACTCCCTAAGCAAAACTTCCTCTCCCTATCCAGGGGTCGTTCAACCTTTTCTCCACACATTGGAAGAATAAGTGTTGTCTTGGTCCACAGAATAAATAAGCAAATACTAATGAAAGCTGATTAGCCGCCCCCCCCCAAAAAAAGGTCCATGCATGCTTTTTTCTGATATTCACAAAATAAGCAAAACATTCCTCACAAAATCAGCATGTGGGCCATAGGTTGGACACCCTTGAGTCATTCATATATTGCCAGCTTCTCAAGGAACATAATCTCAACATCTACCGACCTCCCTAAAACAGGACGGGATCAATCCTCTGAAACTAGCTGCTTGTTTGTGTCAGTGGAATAATCCTTCCTGATCCCCTGTAGTCTGATCTCAACAGGGCAGGGACAACTCTGGTACTGTGAACACTGTTTTCTCTCTCCACTAGGATGTATCAGGTCCACAAGGCTGTGTTTGTTCACTCCTGTGTTCCCAGCATCTAAATTAGGGTTTGGCAGAGGATTGTTGCATTTTCAGCTTTTGAATGAAAACAGCAACTGTTTTGTGGTCAGAAAGCTACTAGCTGAGTGTTGTGATGTCTACCGTGGTAGCAGGTCATAGTAGGATGAATGCCGTAGAGACAGTTCAATTGTCAGGGTCAGTAACATCCTTGGGGGCTTTTCTTCACATTGTCTTGTATTAAAGGTGAAAGAAAGCGAAGGCTTTCATTGAGTCAAAGGGCCTTCTGCAGATGAGAGCATGCCTGGTGCCTTGGTGCTTTCTGAAGAGGGGACACAGTGAGCTCTCCACTCTGACCCCTCACCGGACATTACTTTCCACAGAGACCCAAGGATTCCAGGACTTGGGCATGCCACTGACTCAATGTGTGTGTGTGAACATTTGCTTCTCTGCCCACACACATTTATATTCATCTCAAGAACCTCTGGGTGTATCAGAAGACATTTCAAAGCATACACTTGATAGTCTTTTTCAAATCACTCACCACTGTCGATTGCCAGGAAGAGTGCAGTGTACACGCTGTTGTGGACAAACGGGGACTCACGGTCCAGCACGGCTGTGGTGTCAACAGTCCCATTGATGGGGTTGATATTCAGCCAGCCTGCTGGGTCCTTGTAAACAGAATACCTGAAAAGAATCAAAAGCAATGTCAGATTACATTCCAATTAGTTCAAGATGCATTTACTAAGTGCTGCACACAGAGCATATGCTAGGAATCAGGTGGTGCTTCACAAAAACCCAGCCACAGTGGCGATTCGGAAAGGAATGGCTGACCACCCACTCTGGGCCTGCTCTGTGCAAGGCCCTTTGCACGGGCACCTTCTTTATTCCTTCCAACCAGCCTCTGGGGGAGGTGCTCTTCCCAGCTCTGCTCAGCCCTGGTCACTCCCTTTGTGCCACCTCTACCCTGCTGTGCACACCATCAGTGCGATGTGGGGCTTGACAGTGTGGACTCTGGGGTGAAAAAGACCTGGGTTCTAGCGATGTGACCTCCTCTGGGAGCTGGGGACCCCCGTGATGCTGTGGGGTGGCTCTGAGGATCCAGTGAAACTGACGTGGAGGGCTGGGCTCCATGCGGGGCGCCCTTGGGCGGTGCACCTAACAGCAGGTAGTGGGTGTGTGGCTGCTTCACTGGGGTCAGAGCCTCGTGTGTCCTCTTCTTAAGCAATCTCTGCCATCCCCCAGAATGCTTTGGAACTATCCAACTAAGCAGAGCCCCAGGAGACAGCTCTGCTGTTCTGAAGCAGCAGCAGTGATGGGGACAGATGGAGAGAATGAACGGGGCTAACGCGGGGCTTCCCAGACGCGTTGCCGCCTCAATTTTCATTTCACTATTTTGTGACAACAGAAGCGACGTCTTACTCATGAGAGTGAACTGCTTTAAAAACACCAGTCTTTCATTTAAGTAGTAATTTCTGCTTCCACCTGCAAACTCGTGCTGTTTTTCAAGACCCCACTCACGTCTCCTCTTCTTCACCCTGAATGACCTCCCCAGAAGAATCAGTCACCCTCCCTCTGGGGCCTTGCTGGGCACACGCACAGATTAACATGCCAGTCAGAGCACAGGAGGGGACTTACTGGTCTACCCCGCTCACCAAACTCTAAGCTCCTTTGTGTCAGGGTGAATATGGAGCTATAGTCAGTAAAATGCAAGTAAGAATGTGCTGTTGTGCCCAGCTCTGTGCTAAGAACTTATGGGCATTGCTGCATTTATTTCTGTATCCAAATAACCTGATGGAGGAGGCATAATCCCTGTTTTAAAGATGAGGTAACCAAGAATCAGAGAGGCTTAGCAACTTGCCCAGAGCAGCCCAGCTAGCAAGTGGCCCACCTGGAAGTTAACATAGGTGCACCTGTTGTGGGGGCTGGGCTTGCACCAGGTCTGTTTCTCACACCTGAGAGCAGGTGTTGTCCTGGCTCCCCTCTCCAGGCTGGGTGGAGGCTCAGAACAAAGGGTGCCTAGCAAATGTTTGTTGCCTCTTTTTTCTTCCATTTGGAACAATCATGAAATCAAAGAACGCAGGGCAAGGTGACTCAACCTTTTTTTAAGTAAGGAGTTCACAGTTGACTCAGGAGGAGTTTGTGGGAATTAATGTATTTGAAATAGTGACAGCTTTAAATGGACTGTATTTCATTCTCTGATTACTCAATGCCATTTAGAATATAAATAAAAACAGACTCGAATAATCCAGCTTTCCCACATGGTGTACAGGCAATGATCTTTGTCCCTCTGTCATTTTTTCTTGGTGTCACGCTGCTGTAGTTTTGTAGTACAATTAACACATTTGCTGTTCTCTTATACAAGGAGCGAAATGCACAGAGATGTGACCAAGAAGCTGTCCTCTAAAAGTGACACTGGTGCACTTAGGCCCGCGAGTGTCACATGCCCAGTGAGAGCCAGGGTGTGGGTGGTTTTACAGGATTACATCTCACTAGTTTTCTTCCTTTAAAAACAATCAAGCATCTGTAGCTGTGATATAACTATGTTTTCACAAGACCCTGTAGTTATGCTTCTCTCATTTGTCTGTTTCATTACAGCAGACCCTCCATAGCTGACCACCTCCCTACACTGACCCCCCCTACTTAAGCTGACTAAATTTTCATAGACCAGACACCACGACAGATACCTATCAGTACGGTACACCTAGTTCCTCATGGTAACCACCTCTGTGTGCTGACCAGTTTGTTAGAGTCCCTTGGGTGGTCACTTACAGAGGTTCTACTGTACACAGGTCATTATGAAAGCTTTAAGATACACAAAAATCAAGAATCATAAAATCTGCACAGACAGAAACAGATGAAGCTCTCCTGGAAACAAGCTGGAACTTGCAGGGGTGAATCAGAAAGGATGCTGTTGGCCGTGTTTCTTGGAAGTGAAACAAAGGATCATAACCAGTCTCAAAACTTTTGTAGTGACCCAGGTATCTAGTGCCCCTTCCCTTGGGAGACCTGGGGGAGCTGTGGCTATATCCTGGGGCCCCCGAAACTCAGCTTGCTGCTCCTATCTAGAATCAATACCCACAGAGAGAGAAGGACAGAGGGACAGTCACTCGCTGAGCCCTCCCCCCCCAGCCCAGGTTTAGGTTCTGTTCCCGTGATGGGTGGGAGACACTGAATGGTGGGAATGTCCTCCCATCCGAGGGAAGACAGCCGAGGACCACCAGCCAGCCTGCTCCTCTGTTTCCTGCCTTTCGAGCACTTTTGTCAAATCAGCCTATTTGACCCATCAGCCAGGCATGCGATGTAAATTTCTGACATTTCCGAAGCTGTCTTTTTAATAAACCTTTCAGTGTAAAAGTACCAGTGTGCAAGATGTTTGCTGTGCTTCTAGGCCTGAAAAATGCATATGCCTTATTAAATTGGAATTTCTGGGCAATTTATCTGTAATGTGAACTTTGCTTGTTACAGGGGAAAAAAAATCAAATTAAAAACAGAGCTCATTTCAGTCTGTAATGTAGCTTCACAGAAGCTGCTCTGAGCGCGTGCCAGGCCTTGGCCTCTTCTGGGTGTTGGTAGGGAGACACAGGGCAGGCAGATTAACAGAAGCCGAGTTGCAGGCTGTGCCGGGGAAGGTTTGGGGGTGGGGGAATCTCTCTGTACCGTGCTGGGGAGCTGGGGAGCTATTCACAAAACTGCTAGCACTGATTACCTTGGGTAGGGGCTCTGGGTTGGGGCTGATGTCAGAGGAAGCCGATCCAAGGGTTTGGGGCATTGTCCCAGTACCACAGTTAGAGAAGTGCTGGTCCAGAGGGACCCAGCTGAGTCACAGGTCGCAGGGAAGGTTGGCTTTCTGGATCAACGCTTAAGAGACGTAAGTATCACCGTAGCTCATTCTCAAAGGGGCGTCTATTAGGGTAGGGAAGACTGCAGGGAATCTGGAAAATACAAACCAGGAACGGGGAAATCCAGGGTAGTTTTATATCCCTACTGAGGGAATATTCCTATTGAAGGAAACAAACAACTCTAAACCTGGAGGGAACACAGTGACAGGAGGGAAGGGGAGGGAACACAGTGACAGTAGGTGGGGACTGAGGTCCCCACTGAATTCCAGCCCCCTGGGCCTCTTACATTAGATAAAATACTTGCTTGGGTAATTCAAGTCAACCACTTGGTTTAAGACAGCTAAAAAGGTACAGAATTCTCAAGTAAAGAAAATATATTGTCTGAAAATAGCTCATGTAGTCATGGCTCTGAATGTTAAAAAAAGGTGTGGTTTGAATCTTCTGAAGAAGAAAAGCACAGATGAGAGTGAAGGGCAGCAAATTCCTGAATCCTGGATTAGTTAGATGGTCACAGCCCATCACAGCTCAGGGCTCACGGAGTGATTAGGGGCAGAGCTCTCTCCCTCTGCCAGGAACCCAGAGCCAAAGGAAGCAGCCTCAGTAAACAGGACTTCCCGTGGGTGGAGAGATGCCACCACCAGCAGATGTGCACAGCCACCTGGGGGGTGGCCTGGCAGGGTATCAGGGCTGGGAAGACAGCGCACAGCTGGCCTGGTCTGGCATGGAGCTATGACCTCCCATGGCTCAGTAACAGCTGGAACAGTCTCCCCCTGGACCCCTTTTCAGGCCTTCCAGAGCCCCTGGTGGAATCCTGTGGGCACCTGTATGATGCTCTATCAGATTACAGCTCTGACTGCCACATGGCCTATGCCATCTTCTGATGGCACATGGACTAAGGCTCAGCTTTCTACACGCGTTCTGACCCCTACTGTGACAACAGGCACTGCTCATCACACCTGAGAGGATGGCCACTTCTCACACATGCAGTGGCCCCAGCTGTCCTGAGCAGGAGCAGGAGGTGAGACACTGCAGTGCACCCAAGTCTTTCCTTCCATTCTACTTGCCACAGTCCATTCTCCAAAGAGAATGTCAGTTTTCTGTCATACTGGGAGTACCCCTGCTTAACATCCTCCAGTGACTTCCCAGGGTTCTAGAATAAGGTCTAAAGTCCTAACCACAGTCTCTCAGGCCCTGGAGGATCCATCTGACTCTGCCTCACTCCTACCATGTTTCTTACCTCTCTCCAAACCCTCCCTAAGCTGCAGACACACTGGCCTCCTTTTCATGCCTTAACACCACCAAATGCAGTTTGGGCTCGAGATCTTTCCACTTGCTTCACAGATTGGAGTCTTCTAGATTTTCTCCTGTGTGTCCTGTAACCTTTGGTGTCTCAGCTCAAATACCAAGGCCTCTCTGTTCCTTGGAGAGGCTGCTGCTATTTGCCCAACTGGTGTCTGTCTCCTCCCCTGGTCAGCGCCATGACCTGGAACATAAGCTCACTGGGGTAGAGACCTCATCTGTCTCAGTTGAACCTTTCTCTAGAGCACTACCTGGCACCTGTTAAGTAAGATATTTGATTGTTGAACAAATGAATGTACAAGCCTTCTTTAATGTGTTTTATTGACACAATCCTGGGTGACTAGAATGTTAGACACATTTTGTCTAACAATGTGTAACTCATAGGCAGAACTCTCTCTCTCTCCCCTCCAAAGGGCCACTGGACCATGTCTCTCTGTTGGTCCAGCCAGACTCCCATCTCTGTGCTGTCCTGGCCACCCCTGTGCATTCAGGAGGTTTGGGTCTCACACCTGCTGTCAGTTGGGGCTTCAGTAAAGTTGGTCACAT